CATGTCAACAGACAGGTGCGAGGCTGTAACTAGACCTTCTACATCCCTACGGGGATGCCTGCAAGTGTGTGTGTGTGTGTGTGTGCGTGTGTGTGTGTGTGTGTGTGTGTGTGTGTGTGTGTGGGGGCGGTGGTCTCCGACCAGAAGGGTTCCATCTTAAATTTTTGGAGGCCCTCGCAAAGGATCTCCGGGTACTGGAACTCCATCCACGCTTTCATAATCTTATGGTTGTGCCAGGTAAGTTGAAAATGCGAGATCTCCAGTCTCTAGAAGGGCTTCTTTTCCGCTTCCAGTCACTGGGGCAAAGTTTCAAGACAGCTCCGTCCTGCCAGGAGTGTCTGCAGGCCTGAGAACATCGGAGCACCAGAGCCTCGGGTGGCCAAGGCCACGGCCAAAGCCCGAGAGCTCCCGAGGCGTGGCAAACTTTTCTCGTGGAAATGTCCAGAAAGCAAGGCTTTCTGAAGACACTGCCGGGTCCATCCTGTGAGCCATCAAAAGCTTGATGCTGGTTTTGGTTCTGCCCTTGTCCTTCCGGGATACAATATTTTGCTTTGATGCATAAAATGCCTCTGAACATGTAATGTGACTACCAATGCCACGGCAGCTGCGAGCGCAAAAGAGTCCGAAGTAAGCCCCCGGGCTTGCACACTTGACAGCTGTTGGTGAAGCTGCCTGGATGTGTTGCTTGTATTTGGGGCGCAGCTGCTAGAACATAACGGAACCAATCAGGAGGCGCGTTGTCTGAGCTATTCACCACGGAATACGTTGACACGTTGCCGTGGGCTGAGAGTGTCTGGTCAAAGTCCTGCCTGCGCAAAGCTTGGAATCTGGCACTGGTGAACGCTGCGGCCAGGATGATCCTCGCCAAAGCCAGCTCAAAGCTGCTGGCTGTCCAGCCGGTACTTGCCGAGGTGTTGCAGCAGAGCGGTCCCTATGTAGCTCCATGTGGGACATTCAGATGGCGGCAAACACACTTTCCCTTGTCCCATCATTGAGTAAATGCCCTTAGCACAAGACATCACTTCTCGTGCTTTGTGAATTCCTACGCAGGCAAAGGTGCCTTGCCGAATATTTGGTGACATCCATGGGCAACTTCGAGATTTGCTCCTGATTTTTGCTTGGCTCCAAGCCTCTGATCTACATGCGCACATGGCAAGACGCCACTATATTTCTTTGAATGTCGCTTGCTTTGGGGGAAATTTTGGGAAGTTGTCCTTCATGTCTGCGACAGATGGTTGGTACTTGGAAACCCGCAGCGATGGACTGATTAAATCTTGGACGTGAGCCTTCAGGATCTAGTTTGGACTTGTGCTGTTCGAGCTTCGGAAACAGACTTGTGCCATGTGCAGCATTGCACTTTGCAGAGGCCGCGTTCGGATTTCCTGGGAGCAAGGAGGACAATTTGAATGACCTCGAAATGTGCCGCCCCCTGCAGAAGCGAGCTTTCTTCATGTGCGCGATACCATGTGACTGTTCCATGAGCAGCAAGCCTGCCCGTGTGTCAGTGCAGGTCTTACGTTTTCAACGGTGACTTCGTTGATAGGCGGGGCCTCACCAAGAGCTACAGAAAAATGCAACAGCTATTTGTGGTGCAGAATGCCTGCCAGGGGAGCACACTCCCTGGAAGTTATTGGATTATTGCTAGCGTTGAAAGCCCTCTTCTCAGACTCTGTGTCAAGAAGGGTGTCGGGCAACAGTTGCTCCAACCGAGCATGCTTCATGTAGGGAACCTAAGGAACCTAATTCTAAATTTTGAAATGTTAGCACATCCCCTTTCAGCATGCCAACATTCAGCAGTCCTGTGATGGCAAGGTCTCTATGCCAGACCGAGCTCCAGCCTTAGAAGAAGCATGCTTGGAGGTTCATGGGCACTTGTAAGCAGTGTTGAGATAGGCTTCTACAATACAGGACGATACAAGGAAAACTTGTTTCAATCCAGGAACCTCCACTAGCGGCCAACAGAATAGTTGTGAGAGCAAGCAGACACAGCCTGGAAGGTCTGGCTGGTTCGTGGGAACCATGAGGATCGTAGCATGAACGCAAGATATGGCTTCTGGGAGGCGACCTTGCTCGCTGATTCTACGGTTTCCTCATGATGGCAGTAGTCATTCCATGTGTACTTTACTGTACTCTAAACCCCTTGAAGGGAGTTACACAGGGGGTTATATGGGGGATTACTATAGGGGTTTATTCAGGGGGATACTAGGAGTTTAGACTGTGGTTCATTTGGGCTTTTGCAGGAATGTCACGACCGGCTTGGCGAAACCTTTGGCCGCAAAACGTACGCCAGAATCTTGGCGTGCCGCTTTCAAATTTGAATCTTAGTGAACCTCATAGTATATTGTAGCATACTATAGTGTTTTATACTTTATCATAGTATAATGAGACAGCCCTTGCGGTCGAGGAATTCTTGTCTGTCCTTACTTGCACCTTGCAGGACCTTTTCCAGACTGCCTTCGATCAACTGCCCATTGCCTGCCTCGTCGCGAACAAGATCCTCTGTGTACACGGAGGTGTCGGGGATGGAAGGTGCGGCTCTTCGATCACATCGGTGAATTTCGTACATGGCAACACCAGCAAGACATGCACAGGTGGGATTTGAACGACTTGCGGAACCTCAGACGGCCTTTGAACCAACAGGCGCTTTCATCATTTTTGCAAGTCTGCAGCTGGTGCCTTGAAGAATGTCTTTCAAATATTGCACCAGCTTGCTCCAGGAGCTTGGTTCTTCGAAGCTGCGCTGGGATGGGAGCTCTGAAGGGTTCACTTCTGCTTGATCTTGACTTTTGGAATTGCATGTCATTTCGCGCAACGTGAGACAGCAAGGTCCACAACATTCTTTGGTCAGATCCAATAGAGGACGATGCCTTTGATCTCTGAGTGTCTTGCTGCAAGCCTGCTGTAATCGACTGATGCTCCCTTGCATCGGAAAGGATGATCGCGAACAGCGATCTCAAGATTCAGGCCGCCTGCCATTAAGCCGCGCAGACCTGTGCTGTTGCTGAGCTACGTCAGGCCCTGTCTTCGGGGTGCACGAATCTCCAAGAAACACTACTGCTGTGCTTTTCGGCTGGGCCACGACCTGAGCCGTCTGAATGCAGCTGCCTGCAATTCCCAGTTTTCGGCATGTGCAGCGGCAGAAGTTTCCACCAAGGACGTGACAAAGACGTTCTGCGCCAAAAACGGAATTGCCATGGTCGTGCGCAGTCACCAATCCAAAAAGGATGGAATAGGCTCGCACGGATTTTTCTGTTCGCACATTCTCAGCTGCTGCATGATGGAGGCTACGTCCAAGCATTCCCGTTCCCGCCCTCTAAGCTCCTTCCCTCTCACATTTTGCCGTCTCACCAAGACTCTACCTCTCCCCTGTCATCACCTTTTTCCTTCGCAGGCCCTGTCCGGCCCAACCTCTCAGTCTCAGGCTCTCTCTCTGTCTCTCCACCAGCTCCCCTCCGTCACCTGGTTTCTCTGCAGCCAGATCAAGGCATGCCCGTGACTCGCAAACACAAGCTGATTCCGAAGGTTTTGATCTGATGCATGACAACATGCTGGTCCGTGTGTTCTCAGCAAGAGACTATGAGGCCTGGAATCTGAGGTGGTGTAGGGGCTTGCGTGGTCTGTTCTCTGCAAGCACCTTGTCACTGATGCAAGTTCCCGTGATCAGGGCCATGGTAACGATGGTGCTGTCCTGCTCATGCAGCCGACAGATGAAGGCGGCTGGCATGTTTGCACCATGCCGTCACCTCAGCCGTTCAGTGAGCTTTCACCTGTAAGCTTTCATGCCATGGAGGAGATGCACAATGCCGAGATCGTCCGGAACAGATTCATGTGAGAGCTCAAGTCCTTGGATCCTTTGCCAAGGTGATTTGTGCAGATAGTTCGCACTGCTCACAGGTTGGATGCGTGGTGCCCAGCATTCCCTGACGTTGCAGGCAGCGGCTAATGCCAACCGTGGAGCTCTCTACAACCTCTCAGCATCACAGGCTGGCTGCTGGTGTCTGGCTTGCAGACCCTAATGCCATGTTGCAATTGTCAAGGAGCTCCGGCGCGGAGGTGCATGATCTAGGGGTCGAGGCTCTGTGGCGGTTCCTCCCGGGCAGCTTCTCTTTGTGCAACAGGTTCAACATGACGTATGTGAAGGCATGCTAGCAGGCAGAAGGCAAGCACTGCGAGGGACCCAAGACGAGAATACTGGATGATCTCAGTACAGGCGTAGTCTTCGTAGATGTACCCGTTTTCACCACACCATGGCATGAAGCACATGCCGTGCCGAATTCAACACCTCAAAGCCTTTGGCCCACGAACCCTGCTCGGTCCTTTCTCAGTGATAAAGATGGAACGGGAGAGCGAGAATCTTCTTGTCCATAAATTGCAATTTGTGAGGTCCTGGCTGGTAAGGTCTTGCACCTTCGGCTAGCCAGGTTGTGCCAACGGCACAACACACATGGCTTGTCGATTCATGGGGCGTCTGCAAGAGACAGCGCAGTCTGAGAGCCCGCGGCGAAAGTGATTTAACTGTAGCTTCCCTTGGCTTCTGACAGGAATTCGTTCACGTTCTTTTGACACGTTCATCTCTTCGCCTGGTCAAGTCAGGTGCGCCGGGTGCATCAAGCTTTCGGCCAGAGTCTCGTCTCCTACATCTCTCGCCATCCCCGAGAGCAAAGCAGGATGAGGCCGAGCATTTCATGCTTGGGTTGTTTAGCATGTGTGTTGTGATGTTCAGGCTGACATCATGGTCACGTTCGTGGTTCGAGGTCAGACGTATAGCGAACAAGTCCCGCGGAGGGCGTTGACGGAGGAGGCTGGCAATTTGGGACACTGTGCGCTACATGCCCTCTCCGCACGGAGCCGTGGACAGCAAAAGACGGTCAATGGCAGTTGTTGCGCATTGCTTGAAGAAGCAGGTATCGCCGGTGTTGTGGGGTGCTCAGTTGCCTTGGATTGCAGTGTGATTTTGTTTGCCCAGCTTTACTGGAAGAAAAGGCTGTGCCCTGACACAGGCTGGCAATGGTTGAGGAGAGAGATGACGACGACAACCTCAAGCGTGGCGAGCAGGAAAGCGGATCTATTGTCTGTGATTGACCTGGGAGTCGCTTAAATGAATGTACTTAATCATGGATCCCAGCTATGGATGCTAGGGGCAGGGGCAGAAGGCCGGGCTGCTTGATCCTGCGCCCGGTGTGGTGTGTGGAGGATGCACAGGGCCGCTACGTCTTGGAGGGTCCCACCAACTCCAAAGCCTTCGCGCTGCTGGTCCGGGCTCTCAGGATCGGTCGTGGTCAGGCTTCCCAGGTTGTGCTTTTGCAATCTTGACAATGATAGTAATAGTCATAGTCCAGTCTCAGGACCTAACTTGATGCAATTGCTGTGTTTCATATTGACAGACATGGGTCAGAGAAAAGGGCAGCGGGCCAAAGGCCAGCATGCCACAAAACACGTCCTGTTAGAGATCTCCTTTGCAACTGCAAAGGTTCCGATGACTTGTGAAGACTCGGTGAGTTGCACTTTCAACTGATTCATACTAGATATTGAAAGATCCAAGCTGGGGAATGAGATGTTGTTTTCAGAACACTAGATGCAACAAAAGATTTGACCGACTTTGGTGTAGCTTCCAGAAGTCCTTGCTCAGGTGGAGTGTGTCCGAGAGGCTGAGCTGCCGTACGTGCTTTTAGGGGGTTGCTGGATTCAGTGGCAGGCGCAGATTAACGCCTGGCGCATTCTTGGGCTGTAGCGTGTGGCCAACGACTGCCACCACTATCGCAACATGTGCGCAGACGTGCGAATCAAACCAACATCATAGCGACACGCGGAAAGGATGGTTTGTTTCTTTCAAAACACCTGCTTTGATCAGACGATACCCAGAGCTATCCAAAGCCATGGTTTCTGGTCTGATTTTGGGCGCTGTCATCGCGGGCATTTACAACTGGGCTGCAGGGGCTGCTCGTCGAGAAGAAAGACTTTAAGTCATGAAGGTTGACATGGGTTTTGCATGATGAGAAGCTTGACACCTACGGACAAAGGTGTACTCTTACAACCGCGATGCCTGGATGACAGACATACAGGCCTGTCGTTACAAACAAGCCTGCGAGAGTTCAGGTTTTTGTTAGTAGTTTGCACCTTCCCTGATGGAGGTTGAGCAAGCTCATCATTATCAGAAGGACACGCTGAGGGTTCCATATCTGAGACGCAAGTGTGGCCATGAGGCCAAGGCTCTAGGCCTGGTTGTGATGAGTAAAGTAGGCACTCGTTAGCAAATGATCGCCTTTTCTCCAGGACAATCTTCAAATTCAGATGCATTCGATGCGGAGAGACGAGGTTAGAGATTTGGTGAATTCAGACATCAACCGGATGCTGGTGCTGCAGCCAGAGCAGTGACAGAAGATGGCAGAAGGAGCTCGGATGTAGATGTTCGTGGCACATGCCCGCCAAGTTCTGCTCTGACTTAGGATAAATAGCTCGCTGCTTGTGGCGACCTTGATTCTGTCACTAGCAGGACTGGAGCGCACTTGTTGCTTTTCTATGTGTGCAAGAGCCCTGTCAACAACCCTTTTGAGGAGAGATGCTTTTCGAGGGTCAAATTCCGACAGATTGCCCTCCCTTTGTTCTGGCCTTAGATGCGCACGAACTAGTACGTTGCCTCTAGGCTATAGCATATAGTGTGGAGGGAGAGTGCATGGAGGCACTCTCACCGCGAAGGTGTACTTGCAGAGGGTGTCTTGTAGCTGGCTTTAAAGCTTTCTTCTGCTGTACGTCCACTAACGGCTAGGTGGGGCATGTGCCAAGTTGCAGCCACAACAAGCCACTGCCCCGCCAAGTAGCGTAGTTCTGCGGAGCCATGGGCTGCGGCAGTTCTGCGTCTGCAGCGTGTGGCTCTGACAGTTCCGCAGAAGCATCTCCAGATGGCTCCGGCGGTTCTGCTTCAAATGATGGCTACGCTGGAGCCTTGCAGTCTGGTTTTGGTCCCATTGATTGGGGGATTTCTATGGAGCAGGTCGGTAAAGTCATGGGTGATGAGCGCTGTGTCGTGAAGGTTGTCATGAACATCACAGACACGGGCAGCTCTACCATGAGAAGCTTGGCGATTTTTGCTGTTTTCTTCGGCACGCTACCTGTCGTGTACTTTTTGTTCTGCAAATCTAAGGAGACATTGTGGAAAAGATCGTTATCCCCACCACAGTCGGCACAGGGACGGGATATGCTCTCTTCTCGAACAAGAGCGAGCCGCTGAGGGCCAAAGTCATGGTGTCACATGCATGGGACGAATACTACCGAGATTTCGCACTGGCTTTGCGGAAGGCAGGAAGTTCTGAGGAAGGGCATTCTGGGCCATTTTGGATCTGTGCCTTTGCTATTTACCAGCCAGAGGACATCCCTGGACTAACCATTGCAAAGCAACTTGGCCCAGATCCATCTCGAGGACCTTTTTCTTCGGTTTTGAAGTCCGCAGAAGCCATGCTTTGCATTGTGACGACATCGTGCGACATCTACACCAGGCAGGGGGGTTCAGGGACAGCCCTCAAAAGCCAAGCTAAAATTGTAAACAGGCAGCCAAACGAAGTTTGCAAGAGGAAACTACGGAAAACAAACACGCAGAAATACAATATGTCTAGCAGGTTGGTTTCTTTGATCACCACGCGCGGTCCGTGTGAGGATGTGGTGCGTCTTCGAGATGTACACTGCCCAGCAGTTAGGCCTGAGCAGCGGGTCTAAAAAGTAGATCCTGTTCCTAGTCCCAATTTGGGTTGTGAACCCATCTCACGTCCATGTGCATGCTAGGACCTGCTAGGATTAACGAGGAGTGGGATGCCTGCATCTTGCATCTGCTAGTGGCCAGCACTCATCGCCGCAAGGGAACTGTCATGGCTTGTTGCTGGCGTTAGACGCTTTAAACGTAGATGTGCTGAGCCGACCAGGGAGATGTTTGCTTTCTTATTGGAGGAAGTTTCACATTCCCTTTTCGAATGGACCAAATCTGTTTTAGTTCGGAAAAACAATTCCTCTAGGCTTTGGCACGGTTCAGGCAAAAAAACGTGGCATTGAGGTGATGGCCATCTCATGAAACGTCATGATCCCCTTTAGTCAGCCGGCAGAATTTTCCGCAGCTATTCACATTGACAGGAGTGCCAGTGCAGATGTTTGCGTTTGCAATCTCACCGGCGGGGATGCCTGGCATTCGTGCTGGAGAGCTGACGAATGATCCGATCAAGGATACTTGCAAGTCAGCAATCAACACGAAGTCAGCACGATGTGGACACCCTTCCCGTCCTCAAAGTGATGATGAAAAGGCCATTCGGAAGAGCATTGAGGCAATGCCAGGAAGTTACAAAGCTCTCGACGTTGCTGTCGAGCAGGCACGACTACAATATCTCAAGGACACTTTGAATTCCAAGGGTTTGCAGGACCGTGCTGCAATGTTGAAGGGAAGACCTTTCACCGAAGATCCGACGGAGGTGTACCGGGAAGCCATTGAAACAGTAGAAAAGCGCTTGGCTGCTTACAAGATGATGTAGCCGCAGCTGAGACTACTGGCGGCATCTTGCTCGCATCAATGGGTATTGGGCTTTGTTTTGGGTAGTTGTTGGACGCAAATCCAAAAGATTCCCGAGCTGTGGCTCAGGACTGCTCTGCTCGAGTTTCGCTGCGTAATTTGCTAGGCGCGGCAGCCTTTCGCGGGCGCAGAGCCCTGCTGCCTGCTGCTACGTAGAAACTGTTTAAACGGAAGAACGTTTGAACGGAAGAACGCCTCATTTTGGCACCTGCGCCATCATAGATGACATGCTGTGGTCAGAACAGCTGACCTGCATTGGAGCAGCAGATGAGGCCTGTGTGCTGGATGTTCATATTGGGGGGGGTCCATTTCTTGGATCCTTGAGGGTGTTTTTAGGTAGCTACTAAGGGCAAAGAGTTTTGCCAGCTTCCTTGGTAGCGAGCCTGCCAAACAGCGGTCACAGCTTCGGTTGACGTGATGGTTTGCAGAGGGCCTCTGTATGTATCTGTAATCCTCTTCATAGGGATTGCCCAGAAAAGATCTTTTGCCCAAACAGGAAACGGTTGGGGCCCTCTCCTCAAAAGAAGAGAAGGCGGGCGGCTGGATGGGCTGCATGCAGCGCATACCTGTGGGCCCGCGGAAGAAAATAAGAACGCAGGGTGGCATGCTGCGAGGCCTGTGGCCTGCGGTGGGCCGGTGGAAGAAAAGAAGAATGCGACGGCTGGATGGGCGGCACGCGGCTTGGAGCTGCGTGCTGACGGTGGCTGGATGGGGGGTGAATGGGCGGGGGCCAAACTGCCAACTCAGGGCCGGGCTCAAAATGCCTGCAATCTTGTATCCCCAAAAAGCTGCCAGGTGAGATAAAGCACAGGATCAACATCCTTCCAGATTAACCCCGAAATCCTCATCCTTGCTCCTTACGGATTAAACCCCAAACCTACGAGACTCAACACACCTGGAGCTGCAGTAGTGTCTTGCAATTCTAGTATTCTTTGCCCGAGGCCCTCAAATTAAAATCCGGCGATGCAAGAATCAGACCATCTTTCCATAATGTTCCAGCCTGCTGAATCAGAATCAAGAAAAGGCAACACCCAGCCACCAACACACTTGAATGGGTGTGTGGATGATTCCTGTAGCTGCTTGAATTGTTGCTACTTTGTTTTCTCCGCATTCTAATTGGATAACAGCCGAATGCGAACTCTTACTTTCATTCGCATGTTTTCCATCCATGCTGTTTGGGGTCTTTGCCAGCACTAATTTGAAAACCCCATGAAGCCACCATGTGAAGGTTTTTCAATAGTGTTGGGTCCATCTTTGAGTTCTGTAGTAGATATATATAATTATATATATATATAATATTTGCGTGCCCGCTAATATCTTGGTGTAGAAGACAACTGGCCCGGAATGCCATTGTATTGAAAGTTGCAGGTTTTGCGAACTAAGCCAAAGCCATGGTGAATTACGAGTCGCTACCTCAACCATCAATTTGCGAATTGCTTCTGGTTTCGAGCCCCCCCAAATATCCGTCTCGGAGACAAGCAGCATGAAATAGATAAGTACTGTACGCAGCATTGGGCACGGCATTCTATATCATGAGGAAAGGACCCTTGTGGAGCTATTCCTGTAATACTGTACCTGTCCTGTCCCAAGGTGCTAAATGCTTACATGCTCTGCCTGGGCAGCGCCGTTTTCTACTTGACACTATCCATTCTTTCTGGCATCATTGCCAGCAACAGTGCGTACCACAAAGCAGCGAGGCCAGCTCTGACAGGATCCGGAGGTATAGAGGGATTATATAGGCATCATATAGGGATTACATAGGGATTGTATGGCTTCAGAATTTTGAAAACAGGAGTCTGTATGTTTGTAAGAAGCCGGTTTCACCTGGATTCCATCCAGTGCGCTGCTGACACTGCGGTACATTTGCAACCTCTGAGGGTGGCTGACCTATTCATGATGCTAACGATTTCGCCATTTGTGAAGTCATGGGCGTAGAGGTGCTGTTTGCCTGCTGATGAGCTTGTGTTCTGAAAGGCCCCATGGAGTAAGCGACGATGCCTGCGCAAGTGAGAGGGGCCCGAGATCCTGAACATGTCTCATGTGGGCTCGTAATGATTTTCTGGCAGATGGGTTTGCGGCGTCAGTGCTTTCAGGGTGCCGGCTAAGTTTCCAAGCCCAGGGCGCACGCAAAACAGCAGAAGCATGTGGCAGTTCCCTAAAAAGGGGGAAACCAACACCGACCCCCAAATATTATAAGCCCCGCTATAATGTGTATACGCAACCTTATTTCGGGTTTGATATCCCTGTATAAGCCTTATACCCTTTTTGGGAACCCCACTGCCATGTATATCCGGAAATTCTGCTCTGAAGGCTGCTGGTTCACTACATTCGTCCACGCTGGAAGGAGCATTTTCAGCAGCTCAGACAGCGCCAAGCCCATGTGCCCTGGTAGCATTGTTTTATATCTGGATATTATCGGGATATATATATATATATACGTGTCTGTGTGTGTGTGTATGTTTGTAGGGATATATATATATATATACATAGAGAGGGATATTATTCACCCAAAAAGGAGAATCAAAACATTGCAAGACTGTGGCTTGACATGAAGATCAGCGCATGGTAGCTACTGGCAGGGACATAAGCTCGTGGTGTTGCCGTCGATTCTCCAGCTGGCCAGGATGCCTCATGCCATGTGTGGCCCTCTAAGGAAAACACCGCTTGCTTTGAGTCCAAGCCGATTGGCTCCATGATGATGTTCCCTGCCTCAAAAGCTATTTGCGTGCGCTACACTCTCTTAAGCGTAAGAAGCTGAAAGTGCTCTTCACCCTCCTCAGGCCTCCCCTTGCTGGGCGAATGTGGAGGGCCTTCAGGACCTTCGGTAGTCAAAGCAAGGATGGATTCTCCGACTCCAGATGCTTTTTCTCTAAGGCAAAAAGAGGCTGGCAGCCCTGCTGAAAAAACTCCAAGGGTGGTGCCTTGGCTCAGAAATGGCATGCAGCGGCAGTAGTCCTGTCCTTCGTGAATGTAAGTAGAGCAAGTCTGAAGGCAAGCGCTTGACAGGTACATAGCTTGAGCGAGAGGCCAAAGAAGGTTGAGCGCTATTATTCCTTCGAGGCTGCACTGCACAAATCGCATTAGGTCAGAATATGTCAGAATATAAAAGGAGTTGTGAAGTCATGGCAGGAGAGCTCTCCTGGTGGCTCCGCTACCAAGACAGTGCCATCCACCAGAGGACGCTGGAGTGCAGAAACCAGGTTGGTGTGCGCTGTCAGTTGCACTGTCTTCCGCGATGGTTTCTTAGACCCGGGCTGGCACGCAGGTCAATGGGGATTGATGAGGCTGAATATGTCCGAGGCTCAGCGTAAGCTCCAGGTTGTAGAGCGTATCTTCGCTGGCTTGCAGCCCCTTGTTGATTGCTTGGTCGCTGTCGTGTACCCAGCGAGGCAGACTCTGAGGCAGACTCGGAGGATGAATTGCGGAATCTCGAGCGGGCCAAGCGCAAGTCGAACTTCGGCAGTTATTCTGAAACCAAAGTTTTCTATGCTTTGTGGAAGCTCCGGGGAGCATCACCAGATTCTCCCAAGGCCGGTGCAATGGTACGTGATGTTCTGGCACGACCCAAAGCATGCGCCGAACTTACAACGTGAAACGTGGGCCGTTCTGGCAAGACCCAGGAGCAATAACGCAAAAACTGTCAATGCTTTTGCATCACAAAGGAATGGCAAAAATGCTGCAACTGTATGTTCAAATGCGTGGCGCGTGGCACCACAAATTTGGTGGAAGCTTGTGGCTACCTGGCGGTGGGAACGCTGTACGGGGGCTACGCTGAAGCCTGGGCCTTTTGGGCGGTGCAGGTTCTGTTCTCTGCCGGGACCTCTGTGCATCTCACTATCTGTGCATCTCATTATTGTCAACCACCAGCTCCTAAAGTCAGTTGTACCATCCTTGTTGCACATGTTCAATCCTGAGACATCTTTGGGCCCATCATGCGCTCACCAAGGTGATAAACATCATGGTTATCGGATTCCTGCTGAGCAAGTTCGAATCTCGCACACCGGACCGCGATCCCAGCAGCGGTGGTGGAAGCGGTGGTCTCATCCATGGCCTACTGATACATCGACCTTTTGTTGTGGCCTCGATTGTTGCGTCTGGCCCCCTGTGGTGCGTTATTGCAGCAGCTACGTCGCTCGAGATGCTTGACCGCTTTCTCATTCCAACGTGCTATGCGACGCATACTGTTGTCAATATGTTCCTGGATCCTGAGCCGCATGCAGCAAGCCATTCTGTTTCCAGCCTTCTCCTAAGCCACTGTTAGTTCTGCGCGTGTCTGCATGTTTTGCTCAGGTCTGGTGGCTCGATCACGATGAGCAGAACCAGCCAGTTTCGCTTGCCGAGGAAGAGGAAGATAGCAACCTGCGGGCAGTTCAACACTTCCCGGCATCTAAGGAATATGGAAGAGCGTTTTTGGCAAGAGACATTTAGACACTCCTTGACCATGGATGACAGGGAAACAGAGGGAATCACGGCGGATCACCAGCAGTAGTGCGACAACTTCCGAGCTTTTTGATGCTGTCCTCACTTAGTGTTGAACATGCTTTGCAAGGCATCCGAATATTTCTCTCCATTTCATACTTTTGCCTTTGTTCTTGTGTCAGTGATGTCACTGGACCCCTTCCCTGGTTGGATCCAAATTGACATCAGTTGATTGTTTTTTTGTCTATACCTTGCCGTACCTCTGGTAGCCGTCGTAACGAATTTGTTTTGCTACTCTAGTTGAGCATTAGATTCAACACCTTGGGCAGACACAATAATCTTTCATGAGGGAGGGCTTTGGGGACTTTCAAAGAAGGGGTGCCCCCTTGCTGTACTTGAGTAAGCAACATACCAAAGACCGGTTGTATTCATTGAGGCAAACCAGCATTCCGAAGCACCACTCTTGCAAACTCTCCTTCGGCAGCGCTGAGCTTGCTGATACTTAAGGCCGAGTAGGGGAGTGGATTCTCAGAATAATCCTTAGGCAGCCGCATCTAACAATACCCACCAATATGTCCCCTACAGCGCCAGTACATCAGGTTCTGAAGATCAGTTGGAGTTGGGAGCCGGCTCGCCGAGGAGCCTCGGTGTCAAAGTCTTGCGGGTTTGGGCCTTGAGAGTTGCTTTCAGGAAAAGATGTAAGCTCTTTTTTGTTCAAAACATTCACAGGCCGCGGTGTAGAAATGAAATCGTTGAAATCCAGGTGAAGGAAGGGGTCCGTGGGTTCTGGAAGAGCAGGCCCCTTCACCCGAACGTTGTGCAATCCAGTCCGGTGTGCTGGCATGCGGCCACGTTGCATCCTCATAAGTATGCAAGTATGGACAGATGAACAGCATGTTCTTAGAGCTGTCTTTGCCAGGTTTGTGATGCCTTTTGCGCCCTCAGCCGTATTGTAGGGGTTTCTTCATGTTCTGTGTCTCTCTCCATTTGCACCATCTTCTTGACAAGTGAGATCACCTTGAATCTTGCAAGCAGCCTCGCGTGACGTTTGCTGAGGCGCCGGAGGCCGTCCAGGCCTAAAGACATGGGAGTGACTGGAGTGATGGCCGGGTCTATGCTTGCCTATGGCATCGGGTTTGCATTCTGCCGGTGGGTCGGTTTGCATGCTTTTTTTTTCTGATTTGATCGAGACGTCTCATAGGCTGTTAAGCAGGCTTCAACTGGAGCACTGCGCTCCTCTCAATTGTAATCTCACCTGGTGCCGTTTTACGTTGCTACTTTGTTAAAGTCCAAGTGCTGAAGCCAAAAATCTTGTTTGAATTGAACAAAGCCATGGCAGCACTGGCACGCTGTGATGTAGGCTTGACCTAGACGTAAACGATGACGTGAAATCAGAAAGAGCAGGCTCTATTCTGCGTCTTGGTACTGTATCCACCTACACGTACAAGTCCAAGTGCAAACAAGGCACGATGGTCATCAGCGCCTTTTGGTGCCTAGCCTTGCTGTGGGCGCTCCATGGCGGCTTGCCAAGCATGTTTTGGCTGGGATGATGGGTTCAATTGGAGCACCGTACATCCCGGTCGAACACCTAAGATTGTGCAAGCGGGGCACCTGAAGTTGAGACGTTGTGATGCAGCGGACAGCAAGGAGCCTTTTATGGTATGGACTTCAAAAACAGCAAGGCCGGAGCCTAAGCCCGTTAGTCGGACAAAGTGACATCTTGAGAGCTGTGCGGACGACATTGTGAGACAAGATTCCAGGCAGCGGTGGAGATGTGGGACACAGGTCCGCCATTGCTTGAGGCTACCCTGCTTTCATCTTTAGGTAAGCCATCCGAGGCGACGCCAACCCAACGGTGTTTTTTCTTGAGCGTATTCATATTGACTATTACGACAGCCTATAGTCATGAGCTATTGCGGGACCGAGTGCTGTGGAGCTCTCTGGCTGCTTGATGCAAGGATTCCACAGGCCTTCAGTAGCTGGTCATACCTGTCGTGCTGTGACGGTAATTCGACATCTTTGAACGATGCTGACACATGCAAGTGCAGCAGAGCAACACGCAGGTGTCTTCAATGAAAATGGCATCGCCGAGTCCGTTTTGGAGCCCACATGCGCTGGTGTGCCCGCGGAATCAGGCATGCTAGCGGAATGTCACAACTGATGCCTCGCCATGAGACTGGTGATGCTGGTGCTTCTAATTGAGAAATGAGAGGTTTTCATCGCGGACCGCTACCGTGTCTATGCTGCTGGGCTGTGCAAAGCCATGCAGCGTTAGTTGTATTTGACGTGTAATTACCTTGCTTCTTCTGGTAGTTCTGCGTGCATCAAAGGAGATGTCACACAACAATTCTAAAGTGACCGTGTATCCTTGCGACTTGGTTGCAGGAGGCAAGCAAGCTGCAGCGAACTCGAATCTCGGGCTCCAACCAAGGTCCCATAAATGGCACCATCGCCGACATATCTGCCACCTGTGATGACACAGTATGTTGGCCAATCATCCTTGTGCAGCTTGGGAAGAAGATGGATAGCTTGGTGTAGCCTGCAGAATCCACACGATTTCCATGCTACAAGCATCCTTCATCATCCTTCGGTTGGATGATGTGCCATTCCATGGCAGCAGCTATCAGATCTTTTATTTCTGTTTTTTGCAGCAGCATTCCTCAATCTCAAGGCATGGCACGCCTTCAATGGTTGTGGATGCGCAGCTGCAAAGTTGTCAAGTTGAGCAGTGCTGTCACAGCTCAGCGTGCAGGATTCCAACAACTTGGTATGAAGCCATTCCTATGTCTGTCCTGTACACTGATTTCCGTGCTGTCATCTTTTGCCTTGAATATATGCACGCGGACTTGTCCCCTGTCCCCAGCTTGCTGTTCCCGATTCCGTGCAACGCGGCCCGAATTTGCATGTTGTCAAACCACAAAAAGCCTCGTGGTCGAATGACTGAGGATTGCAACAGCAAAATCTCAAGTCCACTTCTGCAATCGAGCGGTGAAGCTCGGCGCATTGCCACAAGCAGACACGCAACTTGGCTGTCGCAAATCAAATGGCAGTTTACCACTGAACAGGACGTAGATTGGCTGTTCGTTGCTCGATTTTGGGCTGCCAACGTCTTGATGTTCGCAATATGTTGGGATGACAGGAGGTGCCTAGTCCCCAGAAGGGTCGATTTCTCACCGCAAGATGCCAGACAAAGGGATTTCAGTACATACGCCTCCTCAGTGTGCCGGGTTGAGGCAAGGTTGTGTGCTTGACTACTAGTTTTGCCGCTGCCTAGGCTGATGCAAAGAGAGGCGGCGCTCTGCAAACTTTGATTGCCACGCTGCAAGACAAAGTCATCCTGGAGCCGCTTGGAAGGATTGGTCCCCTCATGAAGAATCCACTAAACTGATACATCCCGGGCGAGATTGCAGCACCACCTTAGCATAAGTTGAACCTCTGCGAATGAAGAAGGTCAAGCAAGGCAACGTTACTTCAGCTGAGTGAGCTATCAAATCAGTCCCCAAATCTAATTCTCTAGGCCTGGTACTGAGCATAAGTTGGTTGGGCTCTGCATTATTCAAGTTTTGGCCTAGCCTTGCCTCAACTTGAATGATGATTGTGCAGCTTTGTCTGGGATGCTTTCGCATTTCCTGAAACCGAAGTCATCCAGGCAGGTGGGTTCATGCAGTGGTTCTGTGTTGAAGTGGGAATGGTTACAATGTACCTTACATATTTGACCATCAGATATGCTTGCAGTGAGCCTGGCGGGCCCGTTGTTTGCTGGTTGTGTAGGGAGCATGGCATATTGATTGACAACTGCCGCTAGGATGCACGTGCAATAGCACCCAGATGTATTAGTAGCAGAATCGAGACAGACAAGCCGAGGTATGGCTGGTCCATCGAGCGGAGCGGCTGGCAACCTCTGTGGGACATCCAGCATTCTGCCCATACCATGAAATCTAGCCCTTTGGATATAGGGTTTGTGTGGCTTCTAGAGTTCAGGGGTGCTTGCCTATCTTCCCTCTTGTGATTGGCCTTGTAGCTCTGCGCCTTCCTACGCAGGGAGCCACACAGCTGGTAATTGGCAGCAGGGCGAATGATGCATGTATATGAATGCATGTGCATCACATGGCTGAGTTGGGTAGGACTCAGCAAGTACAAATGCAATAATTTGACTTGTGCCGTCCTAGCTATTCCCATTGGAAAGGTTGTTGTACGCAGTGTTGTAGGAAACATCGATGCATTGATGCTAAGAATTTGGATAAGACTTACGCCATCAATTTTTGAATGGGGCCCACATGATGTTACAGAATGCTTCCGTGAAGATGAAAGAGGCACCATGCAGGGAGGATAGTTCTGGGATCATATGGTGCCTGTTCCTCAGCGCCTCTGCTTTCAAAGCATGCTTGCAGATTATGGGATGTCCCCATACACCCCCCAGGAATCTGCCTGGTGTCGAACTTGCGAACAGTGCCCTGCAAACCTGCGCACTTTTTGGCAGCCTTCCAGGTGGCCAGCGAAAACCCGCAAAGCCTTCATTTGCCGTGGCACCCATTCCAAGCCCCAACACTTAAGGGAAACTGTGGGCGTCTTGGCCCTGGACCTGGTTGAAGACCGCCTACTGATCTTCTATCGTGGAGGCTTCCTTCAAGCAAAGGAGTGGGGTTCAAATGGAAGTCTCCAACTCCCTGTTCCCATGTGGATGTGTTGTGAAGCCCAGATAATCGGATGCTGATTTCCACTTCCTATTCAGGGATCAGGCTCTTGAAGCAGGAGGCTCTTAAGCTAAATTGGTACAGCTGCCCCCGACGGCAGGCGGGGTGCAATGTGACCACAGAGTTTCTGACCTTTGCCCACAGAGTTTCTGACCTTTGCCAGGTAAACCTAAGAGGAAAGGAGCGCATGTTCTTCAATTTCTTGCAAGCCTGTAAATCTTGTTGGATGCAAAGCCGCGCGCTTCCTATCAACCTCATTCGAGTCATATTGGGGTTATAAGGGGATAATGGAGAAGAAAATGGAAGCTACTCAGTATGTTGGGGTTATATTGGGATCATGGAAAATGAAATGGAAGCTACTATAATGGGTTATACTATTAGCAAGATATCCCCAATTATAATGTAGCAGTTTCCATTTTCTTTTCCATATACCCAATAGAACCCCAATAAAGCAGGACATCCGGACAGGAGATGATTGTGGCCGATGGGACTGGCTCTCAGATCTGATGGGATTTGGAAATCCTTAGGGGTTACAGGGGTGATGTAGGGAGTATAGGGTTATATTAAGGTATATATGAGGGGGTTTTCATATAGTGTTAGTTCGAAGAAAAGGAGTAGCAGTAGGAGTAGCAATGGCAGTCGCAGTGGAAGCGGTACATTTACTGGTGACTTCGCACATGCACCAGGCTCTGCCCAATGCACAGACGGTCATTGGTGGTGGATGTGGCAACAAGGAGTCTCAGACAATGGCTTACGCGATTTAGGTCGCTGGATCAGTTTGTTGACGCTGAACGCTTTTTTGCAAGACTTGAAACCATGGAGATCTGTCGGAAATCCAAGCCCAAATTGATGGCATAACATTCATGCATCTCTAAATAGCAGACGACGTCATTCGGCTCGCAAAAAGATTCCTTCGAACGGCAAACGTACTGTATCAGGCCTTTCGCTGCCGAACTGATTGTTACAGGCATTTTACAAAGCAGTCAATGCATGAAGGCCGATGGCACAAAGACGAGGCTGCAACAAATCTGCCGAAAAGCTTTACTAAGCCTTTTCTGCTACTGGTGGTACTACGACGGTCGTAGTATGACCTTGGTGCTGCTGCTAGTATTACTTCTGTTGCTAGTAGTAGTAGTAGTAGTAGTACTACTACTACTACTATTACTATTTCTGCTGCTGCTACTACTACTACTACTACCACTACCACTACTACCACTACCACTACCACTACTACTACCACCACTACTACTACTACTACTACTACTACTAGTATTACTACGACTACTACTACTACT